CTATGACCCAGCAATAGCACTGCTAGGAATTTACTCAAGGGATACAGGAGTGCTGATGCATGGGGGCACATGAACCCCAATGTTCATAGCAGCAATTGCCAAATCATGGGAAGAGACTAAGTGTCCATCACCTGATGAGTGGATCAAGAAGATGTGGTTTATCTATACAGTGGAATGCTACATGGCAATGAGAAAGAATGAAATCTGGCCATTTGTAGCAACGTGGATGGAACTCGAGAGTGTTATGCTGAGCGAAATAAGTCAGTTAGAGAAAGACAGATACCATATGTTTTCACTTATAAGTGGATCAGGAGAAACTTAACAGAGGACCATGGGGGAGAGGGAGGGAGGCAAACCATGAGAGACTCTTGAGTAGTAAGAACAGAGGGTTGATGGGAGTGGGAGAGGGGAAGAGGGGTGATGCTCATGGAGAAGGGCACTTGCTGGGATGAGCACTGGTTGTTGGAAACCAACTTGACAATAAACTATGAAAGAGGGGAAAAAAAGGTAAGTGCAGGTTACTTTATCTTTCTGTATCTTTTGTATTTTCTTTATTATTTTTTATTATGTTACAGTATTATAATCATTTTTATATGACCATTTTTGGGTTGTGGAATGAATCACCTGAATTTCCATTATTTCTTATGGGGAAATTCGCTTTCATATACAAATGGCTTGGATTATGAGCATACTTCTGAAACAAATTATGCTTGCAAACCAAGGTTTTACTGTAAATGAAAAAAACAGGTAGGGAAGGCTTCAGAGCTGGTTTGTTTAGGAATCTGAGTCAGTATCGCTGCTGTTTTGGTTCTGCCTTTCTCTGGTCAAACATATTTCTTCTTTTTTATTTGAGTATAATTGACACACGTTACATTAGTTTCAGATGTACAACTTAGTGATTTGACAAATTTATACATTACTCTATGTTCACCACACGTGTGAATCATTTGTGCCATGACATTGCTGTTAGAGCGTCATTGATTATGTTCCTTAAGAGCTGCTTTTTTTCATGTGACTTATTTATTCCATAACTGGAAGCCTGTACCTCCACCTTCCCTTCACACCTTTGCCCAACCCCACAAATCTCCTTCCTTCTGGCAACATCACTTTGTTCTCTATATTTACAGGTCTGAATCTGCTTTTTGTACATTTATTCGTTTTTTCATTTTTTTAAGATTCCACTTCCAAGTAGAGTCATATGGTAGTTGTCTTTCGTAGTCTGACTTATTTCACTTAGCATAATAGGTCCATCCGTGTTGTCTCAAATGGTACAGTCTCATCCTTTTTTATGGCTATGTAATAGTCTACTGTGTGTATATGTACACATACACACACTACATCTTCCATCCATTCATCTATTGATGGACACTTAGGTTGTGCTCTTCTTGGCTATTGTAAATAATGCTGCAGTGAACATAGGGGTGCATATACCTTTTTGAATTAGTGTTTTTGTTTTCTTTGTGTTAATACCTGATAGTGAAAATATTGGATCAAATGGTTATTCTATTGTTAATTTTTTGAGGAACTTCCATACTGTTTTCTTTTTTTTTTTTTTAATATTTTCATTTTCACCACAGAGTTTATTATGATGCTTTACACATTAGACATTTATGTTCTTTTTTTTTTTCTACAATGGATGTACCAATTTACATTCCCACCAGTAGGCCATGAGCATTTCTTGTATTCCACATCTTCGCCAACACTTGTTATTTCTGGTCTTTTTTATTTTAGCCATTTATTCTGAGAGGTGTGAAGTGATACTTTATGTGGTTTTGATTTGCATTTCCCTGATGATAAGTAATGTTGAACATCTTTCCCATGCCTTCTTTACAAAACTGTCAGATTCTCACCCCGTTTTATAATTGGATTGTTTGGGTTTTGGTGTTGAGCTGCATAAGTTCTTTATATATTTTGGATATTAACTCCTTATTAGATATAGCATGTGCAAATATCTTCTCCCATTCAATCAATAAGTTGTCTTTTTGTTTTGTTGATGATTTTCTTTGCAGAAAGCTTTTTATTTTGGTGTAGTCCCAATAGTTTATTTTTGCTTTTGTTTCCCTCACCTTAGGAAACATATCTAGAAAAATGTTGCTACAACCAGTGTCAGAGAAATTACTGTCTGTGCCCTCTTCTAGGATTTTTATAGTTTCAGGTGTCCCACTTAGGTCTTTAATTAATTTTGAGAGAGAAAGAGAGAGAGAGTGTGTGTGTGTGTGTGTGTGTGTGTGTGCATAGTTTAAGTGATTCAGTTTCGTTTTTCTTTGCATATAGTTGTACAGTTTTCCCACATCATTTATTGAAGAGACTGTCTTTTCCCCCATTGTATTCTTTGCCTCCTTTGTCATAGATTAAATGGCTATATAATAATGGGTTTATTTCTGGAGTTTCTATTATGGAGTTCCATTAATTATGTGTCTGTGTTTTGTTGCCCATACCATTACTGTTTTGATTACTATAGCTTTGTGTAGTGTGTATCTTCAAATCTGGTGGTGTGATATGTCCTGTTTTGTTCTTCTTTCTCAGTATTGCTTTGTCTCAAGCTAGTATTTCTAACTAAATTTTAAAAATAATTTTTTTTCTTAAATGCAAGCTTATGGCTAAAAATCATAAGGTGTCTGTTGAATATGTTTATGAAGCCTGGCACATTTGGAATATAATTATTAAATTAGTTTTTTTTTAAGATGCTTATTTTAAATTAATTTCCACACCCAGTGTGGGGCTTGAACTCACAACCCCAAGATGACCAGCTGAGCCAGCCAGGTGCCCCTAAATTAGTTCTTTGCTTAGGTGATTATATGTGATATTCATGTGTTCAAATATATAAGAAAAGTTGTAAAGCCTGTAGGAACAATAGTTGTTCTTTTGTATCTATACAAATATTAGTTAAACTGCTTCAGCAGGCCCTATTCCAGTAAAAGGTTTTTAAGCAGGTGGCCAAAAGGAGAAAAACAAAAAACCAAAAGGAGTGGGCTTATAAGAATAGCTTGATGAAAGGATTTGAAGAACAAACTAAAGGTACATAAGAATGCAATTGAGATGGCAAGGACAGTTCGTGCAGAAAAGCAATTCTGTTGGTATGATACCCTGACTTTATAGGGGAGCCACTCATTCTGTTACTGGAGCAGTTCTAGTGAGTTCTTTCTGCCAGGGATGTTGGGAGATGTGTAGAGGAAAGTAGAGCATGCACTTGGCTGCAGTGACAGGACCAAACCAGGTCCAGGGTCCTTTCTTACTGTGAATGGAAAGAGCAGTAGAGAGCTCCACATTGAAAAGTGCTCTGTGTTACAACTCATTACTCTCAAGGTAATTTTACAGGACCTACAGAACATTTTATTTATTTATGTATTTTTAGAGAGAGACTACAAATGGGGAGGGCAGGGCAGTGAAGCAGGGAGAAAGAGAGAGAGAGAGAGAAAGAGAATGAGAATCTTAAGCAGGCTCCACGCTCATCACAGAGCCTGATGCAGGGCTTGATCTATGACCCTGGGATCATGACCTGAGCTGAATTTAAGATTGGGATTCTCAACCAGCTGAGCTACCCAGGTGCCCCTCTACAGCACATTTAAAAACCTACTTTTAAAAAACCTACACATATTTAGGTAGCACTAAGATAACTTTTATAGAAACTTCAAAGCTCTTTCAAATTGAAATGTGTATCTTCTCTGTAGGTACTTGAATGATCTTCAAGTTGCAGTCTTAAGAGATAGTAACAAGTATAGAACAGTGTATATAGTGTCTGTAGTATTAGTAAAAATATGTGTGTGTATACAAATATGTTTGGATACATATATACAAGATATCCTGAGAAGATTACAGTAAAAAACTGTCAACCATGATTGTCTCCATGGAAGGAAACCAAGTGATGGGTGACTGTTAAAAGTAAACTAGAACTTTGCTGGTATCTGGAGTTACTCAGTAGTTTTAATAGATGTCTCTGGATCAGAGCTTCCTAACATTTTAAGCAACAACACATGGCTTTTAGAAATAATCTGGTAATATCAAAAACAACTCATTTTTTACTCTCTAATAAGCCCTATGTCTTAAAAGTCACATTTGTTTTCAGAAGGTATAAGAAAAAGGCAGCTTCGCCCCTTCCCAATTTATATCCTGGAAAATGATCACATACAGTTCTGAAACTAGCTCTTAGAATTGGAACACCTTTTAATCAGCCATATCTAGAACCCCCACCATACATTCCTAAGCTAATTAAATAAGGGACTCAGAGCTGTCCTTCCCATTTTAAGAGTGGTTTGCAGAACCTTTTCTTTTTTCTCTTTCTTCTCTGGTCACCAAGCAAAAGCTCATTCCCATTGTAGCTGTGGGAGGCTCACTGCCTTATCAACTAAGCATTGAATCTCTTGTGGTATGGATAGAAAATCATTTGTCCTCAAAATAAGAAAATGCCTTTGACAAATATCATATGTTTGCACGTATAGGAGGATTAGGAGGAACTTAACGGAGGACCATGGGGGAGAAGAAGGGGGGAAATGGTGGGGGAAAGGGAGAGAGGCAAACCATGAGAGACTCTTGAATGCTGAGAACAATCGGAGGACTGATGGGTTTGGTGGGGGAGGGGGGAGGTGGGCATGAAGGACGGCACTTGTGGTGATGAGCACTCACTGTTATATGGAAACCAACTTGACAATAAACTATTTGTAAAAATAAATAAATAAACATTAAAAAAATAAAGAAAATGCCTTTGAAATTCTAGGGTAATCTTTTCACTAGCAGACCATTCAACTGTTGGTTTCTACAAGTTTCTCAAAATGTACATTTTATAAGTTGTATTTGTTGTAAACAACTTCCACTAAGCATTATGTAGAAATAATCAGTACAGTTTACTATAAGTTACTTTTTAGAGATAGTTTGAGAACAGATTTGTTCAGAATTTAGCTAGTTAAAGGATATGCCTTATGCTATTCTGTATCTTAAAATATTTGAGTACATGCTGTGAAAGTTGTCTCTTGTTTTTGGTTTGTTTTATTGTCATAAAACAGAAAGAAGAAGGAAAGCTTCAAGGACAGCTTAACAAGTCTGATTCTAACCAGTATATTAGGGAACTGAAAGATCAGATAGCAGAGCTGAATCATGAGGTAAGTGATAAATTTTGATCTTCACATATTTCTTTCTTCCTTCCTCTGTATTGTAACAACACTGTATTACTGGTTATGACAGACTCTCGTGATAAATATTTTCTGTGAATCCTGATTATAATTAAATAATAATATTTTAGAAAACTGTCTTATTTTAAACAAAATTTGTTCTGTTCCAATATTGAGGATTAATTTTCCTTTAGCCTTTTTATTGTCATCTAAAATGCTCACTTAATATTTGCATGGCAAATTTTTTTATTGTAATCTGAAAACCTTCGATAATTTGTCTAGGTGTCAAAGTCACTTCAGTTAAACTAAAATTTTCTTTCTACCTATAGATACATTAGTGTTATTTACCGTTGTGGATAAAGGGAAGTCTTTTAACTTTTGTCTTCTTATTCCCTTCATGGTGGTATTACTGAGATTGCAAAAAAAGGATACTTGCCTAATATCAGTTAACAGATTTCTTAGTATCTAAACACTTTTTAAACTGGCACTATCTCGAATCTGTGAAATTTGACTCAAGAAATTTTCAGAAAGTAGTATTAAGAACTCTACTAAGTAAATTAATGTGTTTGATTAAAGAGATACTTTTTGTTAATGTGGCTTTAGGTCAATTTCCTTGACCTTTATTATTTTCTAATGTTAACTATTTATCTAAACATGAATACAAAAGCAAGTTTCTTACCTTACATTATTTATACAGTAAAGTTTATTCACAGTGGTAGATTTGAATGGGTAATATAAACCTCATTTGTTAAGAAAGAAACTCATTTTGACCACTAAATTAATTTAAACCTCAAAGTTTGGACATTACTCTTTCCTGGTTTTACATCCTTCAGTTAAAGCCTGAGTGTTTTGGGTCCAGGAGGTAGTCAATCTAAGTAAATTCTGAGTGAAGAAACAAAACATTAACAAAGATGGTAAATCTTCAATGCGGTTTAATTATAACTTGTCCTGAAATTATTATTATTCCTTATTCCTGTCATTTGCAACCATGATAGCAGTTAATGGATTCAGGATTATGAATAATCTTTACTTACTTATTTGTGTGCATTTTTTAAATAATCTGATCTAAGCTTTGTGTGAAAGAACAAATAAGATGTTCTAAAACTCTTACTGTTTTGGGAACCCTAGGAATTATTTCTTGTATTGAAAAGCTTTTCTCAAAAGAAATTTTGACTAGAATAAAGCAATCTCCCCCTTATAATTTTGACTTAGAGTGATAAGGAAGCTTTAATGTTGGTAAATTAAGAAAACTGTATGTGAATTGACTTTATTTCCAAGCCTAGTCTAAAAATCAGCCAGCAAACATTAATTTTGCCTGTCATGTACCTTAACTAAAAATAATGCTATTCTCCTTATCAGGACTGGGAAAAAAACGTTTACAAGATGTCTTACTTTAATGCCATTTTTTATGTGTGGCCTGTGAAAAATAATCTTTGGTCTTACACAAACATGGAAAGAAAATCAATAGAGTAGAATTTTCTACTATTAAAGAGATAGATTGTATAAATTGAAAACAAGAACAGCTTGTGGTGAGATGCTAATTTTGTTTACTCATACTATTCAAAGTACGCGGGTCCCTGGTTTAAGCATGCCCCAGTGAGAAAACATGGTAGAGAAGAGGGTGACTACAGTGCAGGTGGGGACCACACAAGAGTGCAGAGGTGAGAGTGACTGAGCATGGGTCTGAGAGTTTAGAGGCCAGACTCGATTAAGAGTTAATGTGGCTAAGTTGTGGGAAATAAGGATAGATTAATAGAACCAGCTTATGGTGAATCGTCAAAGCTAGAATAGATTAAGTTACTAGATAAAGTATACCATTATAAATCTTTAGTTAGAGGTTCATTTTCATTATGTTTTCTGAGCAGATTTTAATACCTTCACCTGTTTAAAAGTTTTGTAACTAAAGAATGAGTAAGTGAAAACAAGTGAAAGTTTAAACCAAGATAATAGCTGTAAGTACATTTATTATACACATTACTATTTGTTGGACGAGCTTCTTAAAAGGGGTAAATAAGGAATCACTTTTTCATTCTAGTGATTTTTTATTCTTTGTGCCATAGTATTTCACAATACAGAAAAACAACAACAACCCATAACGAAGGTCCTCTCTCTCCAACCTAACTTTTGCCTGTGTGCTAGAATTTGCTAGAATCTTTAGCTTTCAACATAAAAATTAACTTTCAAGTATTAATGTTATAACTGAACATGTGACTATTAATATTTTCTTAGCTGATTTTTATACTTCTTGAAATGTTGCAGATTCATCTTCCTGAAGTTATAGAAATTCTGTACATGCTATAACAACTGTGATCACTTAGTATAGTCATCTCTATGAAATAATAGGATTTAGTGGGTTAATTTTTATGACGGGCTGAGTATATTGTTGATTTACAAAAAACAGTAGTAATAGTTACTATTTATTGAGTACCCTCTGTTGGCCAAGATTTGTGTCACACACTTCATATTTATTATTACTAACCTTCATAATAATCCCACATGATGGTGTTATTCTCAGTTGAGTAACAGACAATAATTAAGTAACTTGCCAGGGTTATGCAAGTAGTAAATAGTTGAACTAGGAATGAATCAAACTGGCCTATCCTTTTCTGTGCTGTTTACACACATTAAATTAGAAAATATGTCATCAATATTTAAAAATCTAAAGAATCTCAGTTAATGACAATATTTTAACTGTGTAGTTCCCCCTGACACATTATTTCGCATACATCCAGTAAGTGAATTCTGCAAATGTCCTAGCAGCAAGAGCTCCCTCTCTCTCCCTGCTAGCATTGCAAATGGAAATTTATCTTCACTTCCTGCAGTTTACTGTGATCCATCCAAATGCCTTCTCTGACTCCCAACCCCTGCAGTTTCTACCGTCACTATCTAATTATGCTTTCAATTTTACCTACTTCACATAGAAAATTTTTATTTGGAGACTTTTACACCCTACCAAGACCCTCAGAGAAGCCACTGTGGAAACCTTTGCTGCCCCAGATGTGGCAAGAGCCGTGGTTAAATCCTCCCATATTCCTAAATCCTGCCCTTATGACGTACATAGAAAAGAAGCAGGGTCCCAACTCAAGTGTGTTCCTTATTCCATCTTCCCCACCTCCTACCCTCCCATCCATCTATAGTCACAGCTCTTACTAGGCACTGGGTTTAGAACTAAAGATAAAGATCGAAACACAACTGCTATCCCTCAAGGAGCTCACAGTCTAACAACAGAAGTAGGTATACAAATAAACAAATTGCAGTACATAATGAAAAATATGGCATTTAGTGTTACCATTCATTTAATAGTCACTGTGTGCCAGACATTGTCCTAAATGTTATACTTACATTATTTCTTTTAATCTTCACAACATTTCTATAAAGTAAGTAGCATCATTATTACTCACATTTTACATGTAATAAAACTGAAGCTCTGGGGTATTAAATAACTCCCCATGTTCATATGCTAATTAGTGATAGAAATAGGGTGTTAGTTCAGGCTCTATGACTCTTAAGTCCATTCATGCACTTAACCGCCATATGTCATAGCCTCCTTTGAAATATACAGGAATGAAATGGTAACAGCATCTGGGGTGGTTTTGAAAAATGAAAAGAAATTTATCAGGCAGATTGGGCATCAGGAATATTTAATCAGTTATATAAACCAAAATTGTAGTTTCTAGGAATTTGAATAAGCCATGTACTTTTGCAACATAGGTCTGTCTTCTCATAGCTACTGATAATTAAAGACAGAATATTTTCTAAATGCCAGGAAAGGGAGCTAGAAGAACGTAGAAGGTTGTTCTCGTTTAGTAGCCAAAGAAAATATACTCAAGACTCATTTTAGGTGTAGACATACTGAGAAGTATAATCCTATGGTTCAGCCAAATTACCAGTTGACTAGGCTTCTCTGGGTCCTTTGGAGCCTTGCTGCCATTTACAGTATTCTGTAGGTAAATGCATGCTAAGCAGCTGATTTGGGAATGTTTTCGAATACAGGTTAAATATTTTCACTTGCTTCTGATGGTGATATGTTGTGGTAGATGTTCTAGGAATAGGTAAATTTATTCCAGTTTTCAATTAAACAGCTTCGCTGAATATTTATGATGTCATAATAGTTTTGATGTACTTTATGTTCTTAAACTCTCATGAAAGTAATTCTAGTTATGTTTGTTTAGTAGGTTTTCTACATAGAAGAAGTTTTCTCTTTTTTTTTAAATGCTTAACTTATTTTTGAGAGAGACAGAGCGCAAGTTGGGGAGGGGCAGAGAGAGAAGGAGACACAGAATCTGAAGCAGGCTCCAGGCTCTGAGCTGTGAACACAGAGCCCAATGAAGGACTCAAACCCACAAACCATGAGATCATGACCTGAGCCAAAGTTGGACACTTAACTGACTGAGCCACCCAGGCGTCCCTCTCATTGTGGTTTTAATTGTGTACTTCCCTAATTACAAATAAATTGAGTAACTTTCCCCCTAGCACCTAGAACAATGTTGCCATATAGTAGGTACTCCATGAAAAAAAAATAAATGGTTACAATAGGCTTTGCTAATAAGGTAACATATAAGCTGTGATAGGAATGCTAAGAAGCTTCCTGATGTGCTTAAATCAGTGGAAAGAACATTCTAGGCAGAAGGAAAAAAAATAGCAGAAAGACCTTAGAAGAAAATGTAATGGACTTTGTAAGAAATCATACTAATGTGCCTGGAGTATAGTAGAGAATGGGGAAAAAATGGTAGGAGATAAGATTAAAGAGGTAGATGAGGTCAAATCCTATATGGTGCTTTATAAGCCAGGATAAATGTTTGTGTTTTATTTTTGGTAGGTTTTGTTGTTTTAATTTTATTTGAGAGGGAGAAAGAAAGTGCAAGCAGGGGAGAAAGGCAGAGGGAGAGAGACAGAATCTCAAGCAGACTCCATGCTCAGCGCAGAGCCAACTTGGGGCTTGATCACGTGACCATGAGATCATGACTTGAGCAGAAATCAAGAGTTGGACA